AAAATGGACCCCCCCAAGCTACAAAAGTGACATTCCGACCAAGAGGGGGCTTGCCATGCCTTGCCTGCAGCGGCTGCGCCATCTCCGGCTGAGCTGGCCCCTGAACGAAGCCCGGACCGCCATTTAAATGAATTCGCTGGGCTATGCTGGGCTCGCAGCCAGGCCGGGTGGGAGACGGAACGGAACCTGAAAATGTCAAAAGGCTTGCGTGCGGCCACGCATTCCAGAAGATCATGGGGTGACATGACGACGGACCGGTTTTTCGGTGGCAGCTGATGCGCGCGGTGAGAACCATGCTCCGCACCGCGCATGCCATTGAAAAAGGTTCCTGCCTCCGGAGGTAGTTCTGGCGTGGGCGGCGTTGGCTCCTTGACAGGACAGGGCACCGCCATTGGCAAGCTTGGCTGGGCTCAAGGCAGAAGGATTCCTCAAAAGATTGTTTCCAGATAGCCCTGAACCTTGACCCAATGTTTTTTTAGGGTCAAAAAGGCTTGCGTGCGGCCACGCATTCCAAAGGATCATAGGGTGACATGACGACCGACCGGTTTTTCATGGCAGCTGGAGCTGTGAGAATCATGCTCTGCACTGCACATGCCATGAAACAAGTTCCTGCCTCCAAAGAAGGTAGTTCCGCCGTGGGCGGCGTCGGCTCCTCGACAGGGAACCGCCATTGGCAAGATTGGCTGTGCTCAAGGCGGAAGGGAACTGGAAAACAAACAGGATTCCGCGACAAACTGCTTCCCCATGGCCTTACACTGCGCAATAACACGGTGTGTCCAATCATTGACCCAGTCTTTTTTTTGGGGACAGCTTGCTCTGGGGGACTTTCGTCTTTGGACAGAACATACTAAGATGCCCCTGCCTCCACAACCTCTTTAGCCTGCGGCTGATCGGCCGCCTCAACAAGGCATCAAAACAGCACTCTGAAACAAACGAAGAACTCCTCAAAAATGGACCTCCCCCCCAAGCTACAAAAGTGACCTTCCGACCAAGAGGGGGCTTGCCATGCCTTGCCTGCAGGGGCTGCGCCATCTCCGGCTGAGCTGGCCCCTCAACGAAGCCCGGACCGCCATTTGAATAAATTCGCTGGGCTATGCTGGGCTTGCAGCCAGGCCCGGTGGAAGACGGAACGGAACCTGAAAATGTCAAAAAGGCTTGCGTGCGCCACGCATTCCAGAGGATCATAGGGTGACGTGACGACCGACCGGTTTTTCGTCGCAGCTGGCATCAGCTGGCGCTGTGAGAAGCTCTGCGCAGCACATGCTATCAAAAAAAGGTTCCTGCCTCCAAAGGCAAGTCCGCCGTAGGCTGCGTAAACTCCTCGACAGGGCACCGCCATTGGCAAGATTGGCTGGGCTCCACGCGGAAGGGAACTGGAAAACAAAATAGGATTCCTCAACAAACGGTTTCCCCGTGGCCCTACATTGCAAAAATTCGTACGACGACATGAAAACGCCAGCGGCCCTTGGACGAAGTCAGCGCTAACAGCCTCGCTCATACGAAATGGTCGAACGCCGCGGAGCCTTCGACGAAGTTTGACGAACGCAGAATGCTTGGACATCCTTGGACGAGGAGCCCGAAGCGGTTACGAGCTCCAGCCATCAGAAGCCTTTTGGAAACCTAGGGCCTAGGCTACGAATGCAATTTTCGACGAAGGTAAGACAAAAGGCCAGCCCTTGGACAAAGTTCTGGATCATTCCCCCCAGAGATGCCGCTTTGTTGATGGCCTCGGGGTGTCTTGGGTCTACATACAAAGCACAAACACCTCACTACCGGTGGGGCTTACACGTAGACCCGAACAGGATAATCCTGCTTGGCGTACTGTAGTTGCAGTTGGGATTTCGGAGGAACAAGAGAAGCGCGTGTCTACAGAATTGTATGGGAGAGCCTGAATTAGGGCTTGTGGATAAGAATCCCCGCGGTGCGTTCTGCTGAGGCCCTGGCTGGTGGCAGGAGCCCTTCCTCCAAGGCCGCCAGGGCCTCGAGCTGAAGCCCGAGCTCCGAGGCTTCGGTAGTGCGGGCCTCACGAGCCTTTCAGCCGCACGATCCAAATCCGATGTGCAGCAACGGCTGGGAAAGGCATCCACCTTCAGCAGGCGCCACACCAAGCCGACGAGCACAGCCAGGAAGAAGAGCCCGATCCACAGCCCGCCGCTGGGCCTTTGGTCCATCGACTTTGGAGGAGGCTTTCGCGGGGAACAAGTACTGCACAGCACGCCACCTACGACTGCGGCAAACTAGCAGAACTGCTTCTCATGCTATAGCAACTTCCTGACTGCGTGGTCTGGTAGACAAGGCATGTCAATGTCTCCGTCACCACTCCGCGGAGTCCTGCAAGCATGCTCAGGTCCCGGCACAGCCGCGACTTTCAGCAGCGAAGCCATGGCACAAATGGCGACTACCCCGAACACTCCCACAGGTTCCAACTTGAGGCGGCGCGGGGTTCACTCTGAGGATTCTGTGCGACACTGCATGGACGAGGCTTCCTGGCTTCCTGCAAGTGCTAGCACACAAATGTCGAAAGAGAAGTCTTCCGCAACAGCGCACCCTTCCAACTTTGTCTGCAGGCCTCTCTTTGACACTGTCAGATCCTTTGGATCGAATGTCGGGCCCAGGCACCTCGACAAAGTGAACTCACAAAGTCCAAGGCATCAAAAAACATCATCAAAAACATTGCACGCCTCGCGCTTGTCATGTGCGTGAAGGTCAAGCTTGGAATCGGGCGTGGCGCATCGAAGCGACCAAACGCGCCCCAGGCATGCCAGGTTGGACGCCCTGCTCTCAGAAATGGCCAGAGAGAGCTTCCAGCATGCCTCAGAATCCTTGAGAAAGACCTCCGAAATGTGCGCAGAATCCCTGAACAATCTGAAGAGACCTACAATCCCTCCGTCAGAAGGCACCCGCCCCGCTGAACCCCATGACATCCCCACGTGCGCAGCAGGTCGACTGCATGGAATCTCTGCGAATCCTTAACAAATATATGGCTGCCTGCTGGTAAAGGCTTCAGGGTTCCACGACAACTGTGGCAATCGTTGAGGCTGATACCATGCACGCTTCCAAGCCAAGTGATTCGCCGTTGAACTGGCACTTTCTTCCAACTTTAAATCGCAATTCCAGCACCAAATTCGCATTGTTTCTACGAATTGCGAGGCCAAAATGTGCCGAAATCATGGGTACGGAGAGGGCTTCGATTGTCCTTCTCCGAACCCTTTATGCCCACCTCCGCTTCATCGGTGATGACCCTCACGAAGCAAAGACGAGGGAGAGCCTGGTGCACACACGTCCGTCAGCTGTGGATCTTCCAGACGCAACCGCAGATACTGTGACCAACCTACGAATCCAAATTCATTGGTGGAAAGCAAAAGTTCGCAGTCAACGTCTGAGTCTGGTCCTCGAGACACCCGGCGCGCCTTTTGCACCGATGTCTGGACCAGCGCAGCTGCAAAGACAGCCGGGGATGCGCACTCCTGGCCAGCAAGCCACTGCCATGAGTCATACCGACTGTGTTGTTGAGCGGATATCACTATCTAATCGTCACCTGATCTCCCGCGGCAAACATTCTTGTCCTATCCATGTTGTTCACTGCCGTTGCGCTGTTGTTCTGAAGCACACGGTGCTACTTAGATTTGGGCACAAGACAGGCTCCTTGCAATCTGCCAATTCTCCAGCCTCCTCCCTGAAGTGCCCTCGCGAGACGCCCGTCGTGAGCACCTCGCACGCTGTTGCAGCTCTACCAACTTCAAATCAAACGGTTCCAGGTCCGCGGATGCTGAACTGGATCTAGGCTACTGAAGCAGCGGAGGCATGGGGGGGAGCCATTTGCAATTGCGGATATCCGCGCAGAAAACTATTTCAGACAGCCCTCGCCACAAAAGTGTCTACTTTCTTCGTATTCCGTCACTTGCAGGGTACAAGTGGCTTGGTAAGGCGCGCCTCAATCCTGATCTGCATGAACTACAAGTTGTTGCTGTTGCCTTGTTGTTGATTTGTGGGCACGAGTTTCTCAAATTTTCTCAAGCACCTCGCACGGCATTTCATGTGTGCGTCCGGGGCGCGACGGCCCTCCAGAAGAAATTGTCTTAGGCAGGCCGGTAGTAGCGGATGCTTCGTAAGGATGCGCTCCTTGCATACAAACAAGGTTTGGGCCAACACGCGGGTCAAAGGCCGGGGGTTCGAATCCAAACAGTCAAATTAAGCATGCTACATCATTTGTCTCATTACCCTGGCTTCACCGCAGCACAGGGTCCTGAAAGCTCCGCAGCCAAGCCCAGGGCCAGCGCGCTCCTTGCGCGCCCGATGCTTTGACCGGCGCGGCTGCAAGGCAGCCTGGGATGCACCCTCCTGTCAAGCAAGCCACTGCCATCAGTCCCATATATGGGTAGGAAATTGCATTCACCGACGTGTTCAAGGAAGCCTCCATACACTCACTCACCACAATGATAAAACCCTACTTCATAACAGTGTTCATGAACCATCTCATTCCTTCCCCCAAACCCTATAGTAGTCCCCTGTAGAATCGCCTATATAACCCGCTTTAAGGAGTTTAGACTATAACTCACATGTTGGCTCACCTAATGCCCTACTCCTCCCGCTCTAGGTTTTTTTAACCCAGGAGGGCCGCCTAAGTCCTTGGCGTCAATTTCTCTGACAATCATGCAAAGGGCGCACGAAGATGTAACAGCAAGCCAAGACTACCAAAACACGACACCTTCAAAGCCTTTCAACTCACTTCATCTCAAAACCACTCTGTGTCCCCTCAGCCGCAACCCTCTGGCCTGCAATTGAGTGACGCGCTCCTGGCATTCAAACAGGGTAATTAAGGTCCAAACGCGTGAATCGGAGGCCAAGGGTTCCAATATGTTCCAATCCAATCAGTCCAAAATCTTACCTGATGTATGTACCCCCTGCTATCCCTTGCTTCGCCCGCACCAGCAAGTCCTCAGAGTCCTCCAGGCTCCGCAGCTCAGCGCAGGCCGGCGCCGATGCTCCTCTAGGCATCTCTAGGCCAGCGATTGGCCCAGGGAACCTTGAGACACAGTCCAAATCCACATGCAACATGAAAATCCGACTGGAATGCCACGCACCAAGCGCAGGCCTCGTCGTCCCCAGTGGCCCCAAAGTTTCTCATATTCCCGGCCGAATCTGAAAAAGAGGCGCCACTCCTGCAGGCAGCGCAGCAGAGAAGCGTATCCCACCCAAAAGTTACACAAAGCAAGTGGGCCAGCCTGGTTGGTGAGCTCTAGCTTACGACGTCTGGCCTTCCATACATGCACGCAAGAAGCACACAAGACGGGCTGCAGGGGGGATCATCGGGGCATGACATGGCATGACGCGCCTTCCGTTTCTTGGGAGGGTATGGCGGATCGTACGGATCCGGGTGCCAGGTGCCCTGCAAGACGGCGTGTCTGTTTCAGCCCGCCAGCTTCACATGGTGCATTCGCGGTGTGCGATGTCCTCCAGCTTCGGAAGGTCGGGTGGGATGGAGAGAAGTTCTTCGATCTGCAGGTTGAGGATTGTCAATGTGCAGGCAGTAAGCCATCCCCGAAAAATGCGCAGCCTCCACCGCAGGTGATGGAGTCTCGGGCGGAAAGTCTGCCGCCTGCTGGCGAGGACTGAGATCTCGAGCAAAGCAAGGCAACGCTGCTTTGGTCAGCAATAAATGATAAACATGACCTCGTCCATCTCTTCTGTCGGCGGCTGCGGCTCCGGCAGGTGTGCCTGCGAGTCTGCCACTGCTGTTGAAGACTGCAGGCACATCTACTTGCGCCAGCAAGTGTGGCCTCCCCTGTGCGGGATGCAGCAGCCGTCAGCAATGCGGCCGCCTGCTTAGCGCGGACTGAGACTTCAAGTCAAAGCAGCACAGCAGGCTGCGGGGTCGGCAGAATGTCACCTGCGCTGCCGGCGATGGAGGCTGCAGCAGCAGCGCCGCCACCTGCCAGTGATCACCCCTGGTTTCACACAAAGCTTGGCTTGGTCAGCAAGCAAGTTGCCGCCTGGGCCAGTTGCTCCAGGAATGCGGGGTCCTCAGGCGAACGGCTCTCATTGCCAGGCCATTCAAAAGAAAACAGGTCCTGCCTCCAAGGGCCATTCTGACATCTGCGCTGGCTCCTCAAGAATACAAAATCCAATCGCAAGATTGGCTGAACTTGATAGAAGATGAAACCTCAAAAACATTAGAATTCATCAGAACAAATCCGGGACCTCGCGTAACGCGAAAAATGTCCCTGCCTCAAAGCGCCCTTCAGCCTCCAGCTGTGCAGCCTCCTCAACAATGCACCGCCATTGGCTACAGGCAGAGAGGAGTCTGAGAAAAAAAGGACTCCACAAACACTGCAGAAAAAAACATATGTACATAGTTGACCACATTTACGGTGACATGATGACCAACCTTGTTTGGAGGCAGCTGGCAGCAGTGTGAGGGCACAGCTCTGCACTGCATGTTATGCAAAGAATGCTCTTGCCTCCACAGGCAGGTCCACTGCCGGCTGCGCTGGCACCTCGACAGAGCCCCGCTATTTGCAAGGTTGGCTGGGATCGAGGCGCAGGAGAATTTGGAAACGAACAGAACAGGGTTCCTCAAAACAAGTTTCCTGACGGCCGCACATGGCGATCAAACTCAAGGTGACAAATCCGTTTGTTGAGATAGCTTTGATTCTGGGCCGCACATGCCCTGCCTCCAGCGGCTGTGCCATCTCCCGCTGAGGCGGCACCTCAATCAAGACCGCCATAAACCAGATGGGCTGGGCTCAAACCGGAAGGAAACTTGAGAACAGAGTGGATCTGTGCCCTGGACTTCCTGTGCTTGAGCACTGAGCCTGCGCCCTGAAACCTGCTGAATCAACTTTGTGCGTGTTGAAACAGGGCCATGGTACACACTTCTGTGAGTTCAGGCGTCAAAAATGCTCAACACGTATCAAGACTCCAAAACAACACAAACACAGAGATAGACCCAAACTCGAGAACCTTACCTGGCGCAGTTGCAGTTTGAATTTCGGAGGAACAATGGAAGCGCTTATCCACAGAACCGCATGGGAGGGTCTACCTGGGTCTAGGGCTTGTGGATTAAGAATCGCTGCGGGGCGTTCTGCTGAGGCCCTGGCTGGTGGCAGGAGCCCTTCCTCCAAGGCCGCCAGGCTCTCGAGCTGAAGCTCGAGCTCCAAGGCTTCACCCGTGCGGGCTGCACGTGCCTTTCAGCCGCACGATCCAAATCCGATGTGCAGCAACAGCTGGGAAAGGCAGCCGCCTTGAGCAGGCACCACACCAAGCCGGCGAGCGCTCCCATAAGGAAGAGCCCAATCCACAGCCCGCCGCTGGGCCTTTGGTCGATGGGGGTTGTCACTGGGAACAAGTGCTGCGCGGTACACCACCGTTCAACTAGCAAATGCTTCCTATGCCATGGCAACTGTGTAGTTTAGTAGAAGGCATACCTCTGTCGCAAGTCCGCGGAGTCCTGCAAGCATGCTCGGGCCCCGGCACGATCACTACTTCCAGAAGCCAAGACGCCATGGCACAATGCAGAGCAGGAAGGAATGAAGCCTTTGAGCTTAAGAACGATTCTCTGCGAGAGCGAATGTGCAAGGATTCCTCCAAGTGCTAGCCCTCAAATTTGTGTCAAACCAAGTCTTGCGCAACAGCGCGTCTTTCCAACTTTTATCCGCGGGCCTCTCTTTGACACGGTCAGATCCTTTGGATCGAACGTCAGACCCGGGCACCTCGACAAAGTCAACTCACAAAGTCCAAATCATCAAGAACATTACACGCCTCACACTTTTCACATGCACCACGGTCAAGCTCGGAATCCGGCATGGCACGTCGAAGAGTTTCTGACTGAGCCAACATGACATCCCAGAGACGTGCGCAGTAGGTCGCCTGCATGGCATCTCTGCGAGTCGTGGGGATCAAGCTGCCTGGCAGCGTGCTGCAGGATTCCTCGACAATTGCAAGAAAAATGAAACCAATACCCTGTGTGCTTCCAAGCTGAGCGATTCGCCATTTAAGCTGGTAATTTCTTTCAACTGTCAGATCACAGTGCCAGCATCGGCTTCGCATCTGAAATGCATGGCAAAATTCATCATCCTTCTCCGAACCCTTACGCCCACCTCTGCCTCCTGGTGGATGTCCTTCACGGAGCAACGACAAGGGAGCGCCTCGTGCGTGCAAGTCCGTCAGCCGTGAATCTTACAGAGGCCCACCGCAGGCCCTACAACTTACAATCCCTTCACGGACCCTTAAAATGTGCAGTCAAGCTTTGGATCCTTGAGACCCCCCGAGCATGCCTTGTGCGCCCGGGGATGCGCACACCTGTCAAGCAAGCCCTCCTACTGGCTTTGCTAAGGGATGTGATGTACGCCCGGGCTAGCGGTCATTGGAAGATTGGCGAGTATGTTATCAGCTTCCAAGGTGTTGTGCTTTGGTACCCTTGAGACGCTCGAAGATCTTCGTACATTAGCGCTTTGTATTGCCTGCAGACCGAAGACTGAGATGGTTCTCCAGGGTTGCTGCCTTCTGAATTTCAAAAACTGTCATTGTGCAAGGAGCGGTGAGTAGGGCGACAGGTGAGTGAGTGTAACATGCGGTAATGCGGCAAGCTTCCTGTCTTGCGCCTACATCCAGGAGGTATACGAAGCCCTTCGTGTCCCCTCAGCAGGAACCCTCTTGCCTTTCATCGAGACGCTCGGCCAAGAACGAAATATCTGCTGCATGCGAGCACCTCGCATTCTTGATGCAGCTTTACAAAAACAATCCAGATCGGTGGATGCTGAACCCATGGCACGGATCAGAAGCAGAGGAGATTGGAGGGGGGGGGTTTGAACCAATTCGTGCCCAAACGGGCAGGTGTTTGCTTTCTTTGCGTCTCCTGATTTGCAGAGTACAGCAGCTTGGTAAAGCGCGACTCAGTCAGACCCACACGACAAACCCAACAGTGATATCAATATCCCAACCTGCGTTCTAAAAGGGATTGTGGGTGCTTTCCTGCACTGCAATACAGCTAGCCTTGCTCTGTGTTCTTTGTTGTTGACTCATCTTGTGGGCAGGGCAGGCCCTTCTCTCTGCTTGTGGATTCCTCCAAGTTTTACAATCGCCTACCTGCTCTCTCTGTGGGGTAGTTCATGCGTCGGCTCTCCGAAGGGAATGTCAATCTCTGGAGTCACAGGCTACTTGCAGGACGTGCCTAAGTGAAACGTTAGCTCCACTGAGCTGCAGTGAAGAAAACAAGTTGCAGCTCGAAGATTGTCAACTTAGACAAGTCCCTCATAGCCTGGGGAGAAGCTTTCATGGTACCCACTGGTAATTCGTTCTCCAAAACTTCCCACCCCCACCCCGTGCTGCAAGCACTGCCCTCGTGCACTCTCTGTCTTTTCTGGAGCACCTCAATGTCTCCGTCCTGGGCACCACACCTCTCCCATTGAGAATGCCTCGGGCGTGCCGGAAGCAGCGGATGCTCGGTGAGGATGGGCTCCTTGCAAACTGACAGGCTGACGTGACTGACACGCGTTGGGGCCAACACGGGGTAAGAGGTTGAGGGTTCTGGGTTCTAGGGCTGCAGCCAGTGCTGCTGCGCATGCAATTTGGGGATGGGCTGAACTTCAGCTTTCCAGGATATTCCAGGCACCAATCTGAAGGATGTTGCCATATGTTGCCTTACTGACGCATCCTAATTCCAGCTCGACATTAGCATAGACCGCGGAACCCAAAAGCGGTCCTTGAAGCATGCTCCGCACCTCAGCCTTGCCCGAGCCTTCCTCGATGCTCCACCACCGGGCCAGCGGTCGGCCCCTGGAAAACACGCAACATGCAAGGCCAACTGCCCCATGCCGAGAACCGCATGACCCAGCGCAGGCCTCGTCCTCGCCAGTGCCAGCCAGTGCCAGCCTTGCGGCCGCTGCAGCCGGGGCCGAAACGGCCGATGAGTCCCTGCTGGCCGATGCCCGACTAGGCGGCCGAGGCCCCAATGTGACCTCCCCTGCAGCTTTCAGCTCCAACGTTGCAAAGTCCGACTCAACGGCACCGGCAAGTTTGCAAGCGCCTGTGCGGGTCGCGTGCCCCCAAGCCGCCTCGTAGATTCGGCAGAAGCCCGCTAGGGACTTGAACTCCTGCGGGCAGCCACTTATGCAAAGCCTGCAACATACACTCACGCTACACGCTGGCGTCAAAGCAAGTGCAAGCCTTGTCAGTCAAAATGAGGTCAAATTTTCTTGTCTGACGCGGCCAAATCGCTCAACATGCACTCTGGGAACAAGACCAATCGCAGCTTGAACTCAGGCGTGCCGCGCCTCATCCTCTTGTTTGGGAGGCCGAGGGTCCGAATCCAAACAGTCAGTCCAGCATCTTACCTCATATAACTACTCTGCTATCCCTTGCTTCACCGCAGCACAAAGTCCTCCGAGCTCAGCGCAGGCCGGCGCCGATGCTCCTCTAGGCCAGCGATTGGCCCAGGGAACCTTGAGACAAGGTCCAAATCCACATGCAACAACAAAATTCCGACCGCCCTTGAAGAACTGCACCCACCAAGCGCAGGCCTCGTCGTCCCCAGTGGCCCCAAAGTTTCTCATATTCCCGGCCGAATCTGGAAAACAGGCGCCACTCCTGCAGGCAGCGCAGCCGAGAAGCGTATCCCTTCCAAAAATTACACACAGCAAGTGGGCCAGCCTGGTTGGTAAGCTCAAGCTTCCGACGCCTGGCCTAGCACTGCAAGGGGGGATCGCTGGGGCATGACATGGCAGGACGCGCCTTCCGTTTCCTGGGAGGGTATGGCGGATCGTACGGATCCGGGTGCCAGGTGCCCTGCAAGACGGCGTGTCTGTGTCAGCCCGCCAGCTTC